CAACCTCTGCAACAAGCAGCCCAGGAAGCAAAACTTCAGCCTCTGCAATAATCAGCCCAGAATGTGTAGGACTCATTGACTGCCAGCTTCCCTAATTTTTGCCCTCACTTCCAACCTGGGACCAATCAGAGAGAACCAAATATTCTGCCCAAACCAATCACAAAGGATGCCCCATTTCTAGTTAGCCTGCCTCTAGCTTCCCCATGTCAACAGCCTCGAATCAAAGCACATCTGGAGTCTTCCCCTTTCTTCCCATGCCTCCGCCTGATTATGAGTCTCCACCAAGAGCAAGTGACAGTGGCTGACCCTCATGGTATACAAAGCCTTGAATATATAGCCTTTTCTTGTTCTCATTTGGTGGTTTTTGTTTATTCTACACTTGGGACAAGTCACTTAGCCCTCTTTTTCTTATTTACAGACAGTATGTACATGATCTCATAAGATTGTGAGCATTGATTGATACTGAGTGTTAAGATGCTTTTTATTTTTTTAAAAAAGAACTACTTTATTGAGGTATGATTGACATACAAAAAGCTGTGTGTATATATATAAATACAAATATATAAATAAATATATATTTAATGTATACAGCTTGATGAGTTTGGAGATAAATATATTACACCCATGAAACCATCACTACCATCAATGCCATAAACATATGCATCACCTCCAAAAGTTTCCTCCCAAAGTCTTTATTTTCATTTTTTTTGTGATAAGAACACTTAATGTAAGATCTACCCTCTTAGCAAATTTTTAAATATACAATATAATATTGTTAACTATAGGCAAAAAAGGAAGAAACCCTTTGAAGTTTAGGCTAAGGACTTTTCGGAGGACACATCTGTGAGAATCCTCCATGTGTACATTCCTTCTATCTCTAATGGGATGAAAAATGAATAAGAAGCTTATGAAACACTCAGGTAGCCTTCCTGTCTTTTTGAGCGAACACTATGCCACAGACATAATAAGGGGAAGAAAAGCCTGAGAAAGATGAAATAAAATTTGTCTTGAATTGAGTATGACTTTCTCATAAAGAATGATCTGCATATGTATCTGAATTCATTCTCCAAAAAAAAGATGCTTTGTAAACTGTAATATGAGGGACATGCATATCTTATCTCAATAGTGGGACCTGCCCTCTGGCAGAGGAGAAGCAGCTATGGGAGGGCATGTGGACAAAGGTCACTTCTCCCCATGGTAGTCTTCTGAGACTTGGTAAGAGGTGCCCCGTCCTCAGCCCTTCTCTGGCTGTGCCTGTCCCCAGGGGGTGAACGGATCCAAGGGGATATGTCCAGCCTGAGCCTATGTACCTCCTCTGGGCTTTCATTTCAGTGTGCGGATACCAGAATTCTCTGCCCAAATACCCTGTACCTGGTTATAAGGCCCTTCCCAAGGCCCATCCCCCAAAGGCAAACCACACAGCTGATCGTTCACCCCTAGACCAAAGGGCTGGCCCAGGGGGTGGCTAAGTGCAGGAGTATGGACGGAGCTTGGATGTGAATTATGTGCATACTGTGGAGTGGGACAGAACTGGGAGGGACCAGTGGAGGGGGCAAGCTGTGGCTGTGGGCAGGGGTCTGGGGCCAGGGAGAGCCTTCCTTTAGTATCCTGTTCTGGCGTGAAACTCCTGGAATTCCGAGATTTCGAAGTTTGAACCTGGACTTCTAGTTTTTTGTAAAGGTATATTTGTTAAGGTAGGAAGAAATAAATATTTAACATTTTGTTAGCTTGATTGTTTTTTTTTTTGAGGAGGATTGGCTCTGAGCTAACATTTGTTGCCAATGGTCCTCTTTATTTATTTTTTCTCCCCAAAGCCCCAGTACACAGTTGTATATCCTGGCAAGGTCATTCTAGTTCTTCTATGTGGGATGCCACCACATCATGGTCTGATGAGCCATATGTAGATCTGCGCCCAGGATACAAACAGACAAACCTGGGCCGCCAAAGTGGAGCAAGTGAACTTAACCACTCAGCCATGGCACCAGCCCCTAGCTTGATTTTTAACCTGTAAATATTTAGAGAATCCTTCCCCAAGCCTCTCAAATATTAAGGGTGGGCCAGCCTGTCTCCCTGTTCCACAGTTCAGTGGCTAGCTCTGATCCAGGGCTGCGTGGGTGTGTTGACTAGTATGCACCTGGGGGCGGGTCTAGGAAAGGAATTTTTATTTGTTTCCCTTTTCCCCACACCCTACTTCTGTGCGTCTTATCTCTCTGGGTAACCATTCTAACCTGCTTAATGCGTATTTTATGTTCCTTTATTTTCTTTCTAAATGTGCTTTTTTTCTGATTTGTTGCATGTAATTTTAATATATATAAGTAATATTGTGTTTCATATCTCATTGTCTTTCTTACTTTTCTCACTCAGCCCTAGAGCTCTAGGCGCTATTGCTTATAACTAACCCTTTGCTTCTAACTGCTGCAAAGTCTCCACTGCAATTTATCTATTTATTTACCCAGTGGTGGTTGTAAGGAGGTATCTCATTGTTTAATTTGCACTTCTCTGATTAGTAATTGGTCTGAGCATCACTTCACAAGCTTGTCGGGCACTTCAGGTTTTTCTCTTCTGTACAATGTTTGTTCTGTATACCTTGCTCATTTTTTTCTGTTGATGTTGATATCGATATCTTTCTACTTGTTGATTTGCAGGAGTTTCTAATATGTGCTAATTAGATATCTTCTTCCATTCTGTTTCTATTAACTCTATCCCTGGTGTCTTTTAATGAACAAAATCCTAATTTTTGATATAATTAAATTCACCAATTTATTTTACATTGTAGTTTCTCACCTTCAGATAAGTTATTTTCCTACTTTTTTTCTAACTAGAGGGGATCTATAATGGTAGAGATGTCATCATTTTTGTTGTTATTTTTGGTGAGGAAGATTGGCTCTGAGCTAACATCTGTTGACAGCCTTCCTCTTTTTGCTTGAGGAAGATTGTCCTTGAGCTGACATCTGTACCAATCTTCCTCTATTTTGTATGTGAGATGCCACCACACCATGGCTTGATGAGCAGTGTGTAGGTGTGTGCCTGTGCTCCAAACCCGCAAACCCCAGGCTACAGAAACTGAGCATGGGAACTTAACCACTATGCCATCAGGCTGACCCCGAGATGTCTTCTCTTGCTGGAGAAAGTTTAGGACAAAATGGGTAGAGTAGCCACTTGGGAATGGTTCTTTCAATATCAGTTCCATTCTCCTAGTCAGGTTAAAAACTAAAAATTGTGTATCCTAGATTCCCTTGTAGCTAGAGCACTGGGGTGTGAATTGATTTCTACTAATTTATGTGATTTTTGTGAGATTTGAAAAGTGGGAGTGAGCTGATTCTCACATTTCAGTGTATATCAGAATCATATGAGTGCTCATTAAAACACAGATTGCTGAGTCTCACCCAGTAATTCTATAGGTCGGGAGATGGGACCCCAAAATTTGCATTTCTAACAAGTTTCCAGGTGATGCTCACCCTGAGTTCCTGTTATTTGCCTGTTTCATGAGTGTGAGAGGCAATTTTCATGGTGGTAGCAGTGACAGTGGCAGCAGGAGCTTTCTGACCTCAAGATCATATCTATTGTGGAGTCTCTTTGGCGGCTCCCTCACTCCTCCAGTCATTCAAAAATCTGTACATAGGTTATTCCTGTATTAAATCCCTTTCTGCTTGAGAAAACTAGAGTTATTTCTGTTTCTGATAATAAACCACTGCTTGATACAATAGTATACCAAAAATAGCTATAATTGACAAGAGGATGTCCATAAATCCATTGCCCAATATCAGGCTGCTGAGTCTAAAACAGGTGTCCTTGATATTGTTATAAGCAAGGGGAGCAGAGAGAAACTTTGTTCCATGGCTGTTGGATTTGCTCAGTGAGGTTGGCAGGAGACCTTTAGTTATTTAAGCAGGACAAGGGATTTTGCAGCAATTTGTAATCTAGGGGGACAAATCATCCTGGTTTCTCTGGGACTGAAGAGAGTCCTACTATGTGGGACCTTCAGTGCTAAAACTGAGAGAGTGCCAGACAACCTTGGCCAAGTTGGTCACTCTAGTGTAATCTTTCCTCAGTCATCTTGAAGAAGTTGCCTATAAAGGGGAAGAGGCTAGAGCAGATGGTAGTAGGTGTGGATCTGAGAAATTATTTTCAGGAGGTAGTTGAAATTGGAAGAGCCTAATTAGGGCAGGCTCAATAGCCTGTTCAAAGGGATTGTCAGCCTAAATTTAGCCAAAGGAATAATGTGTGAGAGCCAAGAGTGTGGGCACTGGAGTCACTTAGACTTGGGTTTGAATCCCAGTGTCTTTGTTTACCAGCTATGTGACCTTGAGCAAGTTACTAAACCAAGTTTCCATATCTGTAAAATGGGGGTAACAACAGTATCCCCTTGTTGTGAGGTGTAATTGAAATAATGCGTATGCTGTGTTGCATGGCTCAGAGTAAGCATTTGAAAACATGTTAGTGGCTATTATTATTATTATTATTACTAAGGAAATTACATAAAAGGACTGGGTAGAAGTTCTTGGGCATGAATAAGTAGAGGAGAGTGAAAGAAGAGAGGAAGAAGTCTGGATGAGAAGGGGCTGTGTAACGCTTCTTGGTGACTTTTAAAGTCACCTCTCTTTGCTTTGTGTACTCCCAAAGGAAAAAAAGTAAGAATCGGGTTGAGTAATATTTTCTATATAGAAAGTAGTAAAACAATGAATGAATTTTACATCAATGCTGAAAGTTTAAAATTTTTGTTAAATTACAATTAAGATAGTAAAGGTGTACCAAAGAACTCAGGATAGAGAAAATGGATCTCAAATGAAAGAAAACATGAACTTGAAATCATTTGGTTTCAAACAGAAATGAGAGTAGAAAGGGAGAAGGGAGGAAGAAGGAAGAAGTGGAGGAGGCATTCATTCAACCACGTAGAGAAGTGACTGCCATCATAGTTGGGCAACTATTCAGAGGGCTTCCATATGGTGTTTATAACAACCTACTTTTAAACCTACGATAGAATAATAATAACATTTGCATCAAAACATTTTTCTCCTCAGTGTTTTCTGCACAGCAGCCTTTACTTCCTTATTCCTCAAGCTGTAGATTAAAGGGTTCAGCATGGGGATAATTGTGGTGTAGAACACGGAGGCCACATTCTCTTGGGCCAGGGAACTGGCTGTGGAGGGTTTTAAGTACATGAATGCAGTAGATCCATAGAATATCCCCACTGCTATAACATGGGAGCTGCAGGTGCTGAAGGCTTTGGCCTTTCCCTCTGTGGTGCTGATGTGGAGGATGCTGGAGAGGATGAAGACATAGGAAACAAGGACTGTTAAGCTGGTGACTATAATGTCAAATCCAGCCAAAAAGAAGACTACCATCTCAATGTCATAGGTGCTAGAGCAAGAGAGCTTCATGAGGGGGAGGATGTCACAGAAGTAATGACTGATGAAGAGCTCACAATAGGATAGTTTTAACATGAGGCCAGTCTCTATTGCTGAGCCAATGAACCCTATGGCATAGACTGCAGTCACCAGCAGGGCACAGACTTGATGAGACATGATAATGTTGTAAAGCAAAGGGCTGCAGATGGCGACATAGCGGTCATAGGCCATCACCGTCAGCATGTAACACTCGGCAATGACAAACACAAGGAAGAAGTAGAGCTGTGACATGCACCCTGCATAGGAGATGATGTTCTTCTCTGACACAAAGTTCACCAGCATTTTAGGCGTAATGACAGAGGAGTAGCAGAGATCCACAAGTGACAGATTGCTGAGGAAGTAGTACATGGGGGTGTGAAGCTGAGCATTCAGACAAATCAGTGTGAACATGCCCAGGTTCCCTATCATGGTGACTGAGTAGATCCCAAGGAAGAGGAGGAAGAGGGGAAGCTGGAGCTCTGGCCGATTTGTTAATCCCCCAAGAATGAACTCTGTCACTGTAGAGTGATTTTCTGCAGCCATTTTCCTCAGGTTGGGACCCTGCAGGATGGGAGAGAAGAACCCCATGAAAAGCTGCATCTTGGACTTTGTGGTGAAGGTAATTTTGAGAACTTGGGGCCAGCTGAGAGATCCTTGGCTCTTTCCTGATGCATCTTTCCCTTATCCTGCTGTTTGCTGGGAGGAAGACCAGACCCTGGGTGTTTCAAAGATATGGAGATGAGAGGAAAAGGGGGCAAGATCTGGAATTTTTATCATTTTTATGTTTCTCAAATATCCTAGAGCAGTGGTTCTTAAAGTGTAGTCCCTGGAGCAGCAGCACCAGCATCACATGGAGACATTCAAGATGCAAACTCTCAGGCCTCATCCCAGATCTACCAAATCAGGAACTCTGGGGATGGGGCCCAGCAATCTGCGTTTAACACTCTCTCCAGGTGATGCTGATGCGGGTGATGATTGAGAACCCCTAGCCTATAAGGAACAAGTAGTATATTTCATATTTTGTAGTTTGAGATGTAATTTTACTTCAGAAATGAAATTTCCCTGTCATCTATGCAATTCCTGAATATGCACTGATTGTGAACACATAAATACCTATCTCAAATCAATGTGAGGGCGATATGGTAGTTACAACTGTATCGAGTACAAGTCAATTTCTGTATCTGAAAGATGAAGAAATTAGTAATATCAATTCCAAAAATGATTGTCAAAATTACATGGCATAATGCATATCTAGAAGTTTTTTTTCAAGCACTGTGTTCCTATAAAAATGTGAGCTGTCGTTGGGTGTCTGGAAGTTTTTCTTACTTTTTCGCTGGACTTGAGGTCCTAATACAGTGGTTCTCAACATTGGCTGTATATTATAATCACCTGAAGTATTTAAATACATTGATGCCTGGGTTCCACCCACAGAGGTTCTGATGTAATTGATCTTTGGTGCAGCCTGGGCCCTGGCATATGGTATACCCAGAGTAAGTGTTCAATAACTATTTTGATTATTATTATTATCACTTACAGATGATAATATCAAACCATGGCTCCATTATCTCCCTAATGGCAAAGAACTCAAATTATAGATGCGTCTCCCAGAAGCATGCTTCAATATTCTCGGATGTGATACCTATAGACTTCCCTTCTCTAAGATGTACTTCTTAAGCTAAAAACCTTAAGGTTTTGCTATTTTAATTGCTTCCTTATTTAATTACTAATTTTTGTTTAATGCTCTTCAAAGGTAAATCTCATGAACTCCTTTTAAAGTTTTTGGATTTGAGGAGAAATGTCTTTATACTAGTGTTTTTATTCCCATTTTCATATTGAGAAAACTGAAGTGTTAGACACCAAGTGACTTGCTAAAGGAGCACTTAGGGTCTTGCTTTACACCTGTGCTGTGAATCATGTTTTTCTCTCCCAGATGTGTTAATTTTCCTTTTATTGGAAGAACCATCTTGCAGCTTGGGAAACTTAGAATCTAATGCTAGCATTATAATACTTTACAACCAACAACCCTACCACCCAGGTCTTATCCCAATATCCTGTGCATGATGTTGTACCAAATTTTGGCAAAATTGTTACCAGTGGGAGAAACTGCATAAAGGGTACACAGGATCTCCCTACATTATTTCTTAGAACTGCAAGTGAATCTGCAATTATCTAAAAATAAAAAGTTTAATTTAAAAACCTTCATTAACAATATTGTCATAGATAATATATTACTGAATGTATTCTTGAAAAGTACATGTTCTTATGAACGTATTTCCCTCATGAATGAGAATATTTGAGTAAAGACTTATCAGTCTACGTTCTTATGTCCTTCAACTTCCTACCATTCTACATTGTCAGTCTACAGGTACAGCAGCTGGGTGACAAATTTAACATTGCTTATAAATACCATTCCTTTACTGAAATTATATGGTTTGTTTTAGTAAAATATTTTAATTTGTTTTAAAAGTCTTTTTATATAAACATCTAAAGCCGAGCTGACTATGCCTAATGGTGAATAACTAATGATGAGTAACAATCATAGTGGTAGTAACTGATGATGATGTCGATGGTAATGACTGAGGTGATTGTGGTGGTGATGATGATGATGGTGGTGGTAGGTTAGTTTGTGCACAGCATATTAAAAAGAGGAATGCTATATTATTTTTTCCATTCTCTAGGAAATGGAAGCCGTAAAAGTTAAATAAGTTACCCAAAGTCATACAACTAGCAAGAGGCAGGACTGAGCCTAAAATGCAGGACTTCTGACCACCAGTTTGTTTTCTTTCCACTAAACAATATTGTTTTGCTGTAGCTTATCTTTGTGTAGCATTTTATTATTATTTAGTAAACTTAACTTATTGACTTTTTAGAGATAGAAGATAGAATCTATTGCTTTTTTAAGTGCATTTAAAAAATTACAAAGACAATATACAAGCATTGTAGAAAATTTGAAATACAAATAAAGTAAAATATCAATTTTCCTGCTACTTGGAGACTACCACTGGTAATGGCTATCTTTCTAGATTTTTTCTATGCCTATATGTACTTATATGGGTATAAGTATATATGTACTTTTTAAAAAACATTATCTAACCTGATTTTTTAATGTAGCCCTTTAAAATACATTGTCTCATTGATTCCTATAATAATAATAACAACTCTAGCACTAACTGTATTTCTTTTCCTTAGATACAAGAGCCTTTAAATCCTTAGGATGTGGTGTGAGGACAAGAAAATCTGCATTGCCTTGTAAACCTTATATGTTAAATTATTGGTGGTGAGATATTTAACTTTGTAATAACTACTATTGGAGGTAGCTAAGGTTTTTTGAATACTATTTCCATTTAGTACAAAGGAGAAATTTTCTTCTAGGTGACAATAGATTAAAAAAGCATTATATTCCCACTTGTGCCCAATTTACACCTCTTAAAGCAATAAGAAACATAGGCTACCTTGAATTACTATTACCAGAAATCAAAGTGCTTTACGAGGTAGTGCAGAATGAACACCATTCACTCAGCAGAGTGCAGATGGGAAAATTTTCGAAATCATTGATTGAAAGTTTTACTCCCATAATGATCTAATAAGATAGGCAAACATGACCCACATATTTGACATCAGTTACTGGAATAACTACCTCTTGTTTTATCAGACCATCAGATGCTCAGGGTTGCTGCTGATGAGAACACAGCACACAAAGAAAAAACACTTAGAGATGAAGGTAAACATATGGTTGGAAATAGCCTTCATTAGAGACACAAGTCATGTAAGAAATATTTTTTCTCATGCAATTGGTTTAAATCTGAAATTAAATACCTGTGCTGAGGAAAAATGGCATACAGTCTCCTGGGAAATGTAGGAGATTCCTTGGTTTCAACAATCAGGAAATAAGTATCAGTAAATGAGAAAATCATACAGATTTATATCTGATTCCAAATTTACTCAAAGAGGCGTGGATAGCATGAAAAACAAGTCACTGAGACTAGGAGACTGGGGGTCTGTTTACATATGTGTATGAGCAGACCCTCTCCTGGGATGCAGTCACTTGAGAGACACTTACATCACCTTCATTTTCTAATTTTCAAAATAATTTGGTTTCTTGTTATCCTCCAAAGGTGATCAGTTATTTTTCTTTAGTATCTTTATACTCTCATCAATTTAAATATATTTTATGTGTTTCAGTCCATTGTAATTATTATCCCCTTATTGCTCAAAATTTCCTATCTTTGGTCTGTGGAATTCTCTTTAGTTTATCTCTTGAGTCATTCTGACACAGTGCTATTAGTCTCTAATACCTTCCTTGCTATCTGATATGACAAGATGTTCTGAGCTCATCTCATACATTTTATTCTTCAGACCAGGAATCAACCATTTCTCCAAGAAACTTGATTTCTTTTAGTGCTGAATGATGTTTCAAGGCCAAAAATTAGATGCTACAAAGGCTCATTGTTTTGGGATTAGTTATTGTTTCTAAATCTATTCAAAAAGAACTAGGAAATTTGGCCTACCTGGTTTTTACAGTATCTCTTTTTAATTAGAATAGAACAATAATTGTACTAGGACATTTTGATATTCACTCGGGCAATTTTCTTTGGTGTGATGTTTCTTTTCAATGTATCACTTGAAATCTTTTTTTTTTTTAACACTAGGAAATTTTCCTTGCATTGTAGTTTTTATTTTTTATTCTGTTCCTTGATTTGGTTTCTTCCTTTGGGTCTCCTATTTAGAGTAGATCTTCTTTGCGTTGTAGCTACATCTATTACTTTCCCGTTAATTCTTTTCATTTATTTTTTTCTTTTTACTTTTATCCCTCTTTTTTGCCCTTTATTTCTAAGGTATTATCTGTTGTGTTTTCTTGCTCTTCTGTTACTTCTAATTCAATCTCAATTTCCTAAATTATTTTTTCTTTTAGTTGTAATAATTTCCAGAGTTCTATTGCTCAATCTATGGGTTTTTCTAATTCAGAGTTTTGTTGTACTTTCATACCTTGTATTATTTTGAAAATGTGTTTTATCTCATTTTGAAATAATGTAATAATATTCATTTATTTGTGGAAATGTGCTAGGGACTGAATTGTGTCCCTACCATAAGCCATCCAACATAAGCAATTAAAAAACTGGACAAAATATATAAAATAATTGTTTTTAGACATTGGACAGGTGTTGCTGAATTATTGTCTGAGACAGAAGAGGAACAAATGAGGCGATCCCTGTATTAGCCCTGACTTTTTGTATGGAGATACTTTTTAGATCATGAACCAAAGAAGGTATATGTAAAGAAAGCACAGCATTGTTGATGAACTGAGACAAAGCAGACAAGAGTTTTGGGAAGTTGAAGTAGCTGGAACATGTAGAGAAGCATACTGAAACCACACAGAAAAAGAAATCCAGAAATCTGCATAGGGGTTCTCCTTGTGTCTTTGTCTGACTACTAAGCTACGCATTTATAAGACAAAACTCCATGAAGCAAGGCAAAGAATAACTACTTGGATACTTTAAGCTAAATAATTTTCACAGCTTACCCAGTACTGTGAGATGTTTGTATTACAACCAGTCAGTAACATAATCTTCTTGCTCACCTGTGGCATT